AAAGAAGAAGTATCAGTAGTTGGAAAATATAGCCTTGGTGATAGAAACAATGCTTGAGACTGCATGATCGAATTTTACCTTTTTAAAGCAACATAAAAGACAACTATACACTTGGATTTCAAAAGATGGAATACACAGAAATCAAATTAACTACATTTGTGGAAAGAGAAGGTGGAAAAGCTCAAAGTTGCTGCTATATGTCATCGAGTCAATTCAGACTCATACCAATCTTATATACAACAGAATGAAATACTTCCTGGTCCTGAGCCATCCTCACAATTGTTAAGCTTGAGTCCATTTCTGCAGCCACTGTGCCAATCAATCTTGGTGGGAGTCTTCCTTTTTTGCTGACTCTCTAGTTTATCTAACATGATGTCCTTCTCCAGGGACTGGCCCCTTCTGTTAATATGTCCGAAGTCTTAGAGATGAAGTCTCACTATCCTGGCTCTAAGTAGCATTCTGGCTGTACTTTTTCTAAAACAGATTTGTTTGTTCTTCTGGTAGTCCATGGTACTTTCAATATTCTTTTTCAATACAACTCAAATGCACCAATTCTTTTACAGTCTTCCTTATTCACTGTACAACTTTAACATGCATCTGAAGCTACTGAAAATAGCATGGCTTAGTCAGGCACATCTTAGTCCTCAAACTGACATTTTCACTCTTGAACACTTTCAAGAGGTCTTGTGCAGCAGATTTGCCTAATGCACTATGTCACTTGATTTCTTGACTGTTGCTTCCATGACTGTTGATGGTGGATCCAAGCAAAATGAAATCTTTGACAACTTCAATCCTTTCTCCATTTATCATGATGTTATTTACTGCTCCTGTGGTGATGATTTTTGCTTCTTTACACTGAGGTGCAACCCATACCTAAAGCTGTGGTCTTTGATCTTCATCAGAAAGTATTTTAACCCCTCTTTGTATTATCTGCATACCACAGGTTTTAATGAGCCTTCCTCCAATTCGCTTGTTCTTCTTCATAATATGTAGCTTCTTGGATTCTTTGCTCAAATAAGTACAGTGAAAGAATGCAACTTTAGCACACACCTTTCCTTCTTTTGGAAACTTAAAAATTTTCAGTGTCCTCCACAAACTGGAGCAGAAAGATTCAATAAGAAGTTTCATAAAAGAAAATATGGTCTCTGATACTCTGATTTTACTATGTACTTTCCTTAGTTCTAACTTTATCAGCCCTGGTGTGGCTCTGTAGGATAAGCACTGAACTGCTAACCACAGGGTTGCTGGTTGAAACCCACCAGCTGCATTTTATAAGCCCTACACAGGGTCACTATGAATTGGAACTGCCTTAATGACACTTAACAAGATCAACTTTATCAGTAACTTTTTTATATTTGAAAACTAAGGCTCTAGAGAGAATATATGGGATAAGACACATGAAGATAGAATAAAAAATAAAGGAAAGGACAGTTAAAGGAATAAGAGCATTTGAGAGTACAAGAGTATTAGTCAAGAATTTTCTCAATTCTCTAAGTACTCCTTAAATTTGGCCTGGATCAATAATTTTAGAGGATTATAACAGAATTCCTACCAAAGATCAGAATGTGAATGTCAGATCTATGAAAAATGTTAAAAGTCATTTAATATCATTCTTTCATCTGACATTAAGGGAACTGATGTTTCTGAAGACATTTCAGTGGACAACATAACATAACCTGCAATTGGTACACCTAGATAGATATACCAAAAATTGAAAGCAAAGACTCAAATATATACTTGTACAGCAATGTTCATAATAACCCAAAGGTGAAATAACCCAAATGTCTATCAACAGATGAACACATAAAACATAGTATATACACACAATGGAATATTATTATCCAGTCATAATGAAAACTGAATGAATCCTGAAAACATGCTAAGTAAAATAAGCCAAACACAAAAAGATACATTGTATAATACTACTCACATGAAATATCTAGAACAGGCAACTATATAGAGACAGAAATATTAGGGGTTGGAAGAGGAGAATGGTGAGTTTTTGCATACTGGGTAGAGAGAATTTACGTTTGGGGTAGTGAAGAAATTTTAGAAATAAATTTGGGGGCTAGTTATACAATATTGTGAATGTAATTAAGGCTACTAAGTTATATACTTAAAAATGGTTAAAATGGCAACTTTCATGTTATATATTTTTTTACCACACACACAAAAATCTATATAAGGCAAATGGTAGCTGGTTTCTTCTACATACATTTTAACTGAGTCTTCACAAAAGTTACTTTTGTACTTGACTAATTTTCACTATTAACTATCAAGTTCTTTCAGGGCATGGGACTTGATTTTATTCATTGTCAATTGCACAATGAATAAATGAATGAATGGATGAATGGATGACAGGCAGACATAAACAAAATACTTATTGTGTTAGTAGAAACCATAGATACAATCTAACTTCATTAAAAACAACAGCAAAACATATGAGGAAAGAAAGGTTCATTATGATCAAGTAAGTTACCCAAAACTTCACAATTTGTTAATTTTCTGCTGTTGAGTGGGTTCCGACCCATAGCGGCCCTGTATAGGGTTTCCGAGGAATGACTGGTGAGCTTGCACCACCAACCTGGGGCTCAAATCAACTTCGTAGTCCAGTGCATTAACCCACAGTGTTACACCATAGTGGAAGCTAAATGGGGCTCTCAAGACTCTTGAGTCTTAGTCCACTTCTCCTTATTTTACAGCAGACAACTTCAATGTACAAATACTTTAGCTGCTTATGATACTTCAATTTTCTATATTTGGTAAACTCTAACGTGGGCTACTGATGACAAATGAATAAGGCTAGCTTTCTCGTATATAAAACTACAATCTGAACAAAATAGAGAATGTTTATTTCCTACACACATAAAATTATATATTGCATCTCAAAGACTAGAAAAATTTGAATTGGACACTGTTAATTTACCTGTGTAGTTGTGTATGGAGTCCTGGTGTGTCACTGTGGGATAAAGCACTGGACTGCACAGTCAGTTTGAAGCATAAGGTTGGTGGTTCAAACTCACCAGTCACTCCTATACAGGGTCACTGTGAATTAAACCAACTCCACAGCATATAACAACAACAATTTTTGTATGGGTAGGAGAGTGTTTCAGGAAGAGCAATGTGGTATTGTGAAGGAGAGCTGACCTGGGTTTAAGTCCTATTTTCCCCTTTATTAATTCTGAACTTTGTGCAGATAATTTGATTTCTCAACATTTTAGTTTTCTTATCTGTAAAATGGTTGTATCTCCCCACTTCACAGGACTGTCACATGATCAAATAATATAATTTTAGAGATTTTGATAATTCAACTACTATACTAGAAGGGGGCTTCAAAAAGTTTGTGGAAAATTCCACTATCTTTCAACTCCATTTTTCCATGAACATTCTGAAGCCCCCTCATATTATTTTTCTCCAACTTTAAAGATCTCATTCAAACATTGTAGCTACGATGCCTTTCCTGATCCAAATGGAGTCAGTTATACGTTAGGCTGTTAACTACGAAGTCTGCAATTCAAATCTACCAGCAGCTCTAAAGAAGAAAGATGAGACGTTCTGTTCCTATAAAGATTTACAGCCTGGGGAATCCTATACAGGATTGCTGTAAGTCGGAACTGACTTGATGGCATACAACCACCACCATCAACCGCCTATAATATTTTCTATGCTTCTTTGAAGGTATTTATCCAATTTTACCATGTATAATGGAGTCCTGGTGTGATACTGTAGGATGAGCACTGGACTGTTAACCACAAGGTTGGTAGTTCAAACCCACCAGCCGCTCCTTGAAAATCCTATACAGAATCACTGAGTTGGAACCGACTTGGTGGCATTTAACAACAACCCTGTATAATGCTTCTGTGTATAACTCTTCTACTAGAGAATGCAATGAGCAGGAAAAGTCATTTTTTAAAAAAAAATTTAATCTCTGTCCTTCACAATAGCAGGTATTTAATGAATGTTCTGCAAATAAAGAGACTGAACCTACACGTGTATTAATATTAACCAATGTCTGACTTTATTACAAGTAGTATGCTGTTATTGTTGTTTTCGGTAGGTGCCATCAAGGTGTTTTTTGTATATGTACAAGAGCACATGCTTGTCAGCACAGATTTTTTTTTGGAATTTTTCTTGCTTGCAGAATTTTCTAACACTTAACTACACACGAGACTGAATATATAAGTAGAATATAACACCAGTGTGGTCAGAATAAATAACTATTTCAACATCACTTCATAATCGAAATACTACTCTAGTTCTTGTGTCGGGTTCCAGGACAGAAAAGAAAACAGAACAGCAAAAATACAGAATTATCACAATGACAATTAATGCAACCTAAAAATAAGATGTTCTAGAAAAGCTGCAAATGTGACAATTTAATCTCATGATCCTGTTAAGGTAAGACAAGAGTCATATATTATATCCCAAATACTCTAAAATATTTTATTATAAAATTTTGCTAGATTTCCCCAGATGGTGTTGGTGGTTAGGTACTGTCGAGTTGGTTCTGAATCATAATGACCCTGTATAGTGTTTCCAAGGCTATAAATCTTTATGGTAGTAGAAAGCCTCATCTTTCTACTGAAAGATTTCCCTAGGAGAGATGGCTAACTTCAGAAACATAGGCTTAACATGTCTGATGAATGAATAAACAAATAAGGATAACAAATTATAACAACTTAGCTGATCTAAGGGAACAAAGGGAGAATAGTCTCCCTGTGACATAAAGTGAACTCTGGAACCTTTGTTCCTTGGTTGTCGTTATTGTTGTTAAGTGGCACCGAGTCAGTTTCAACTCACAGCAACCCTTTAAAGGACTTCTGAGGAGGGTGGTAGGTTTGAGCTGCCAATCTTGCAGTTAGTGGTCCAGTGCTTATATCCTACAGTGGCACACCAGGATTTTAGGACTATGAAAATTAAAATAGCCTTTCACAATATACTGTAAAAGTACAGGATCTGCTACTACATATCATTGGATGAGGAGCAAATCAGATTCTTACCCAATAACAGGATGTTTGAAGCCAAGCTTCTTGGTGGCCTCTTCTATTTCTTTTTCCAGCCAAGGCTGTGGGCGGATCAAATATTTGACAAACTGGGACACCCACCACACTGCAGGGTCACCATGGACTCGAACAAGTCGATCTGCAAGGTCTTCTGGTACAGCCAGGGGTAAATATGGAGGACGGGGATGAAGACTGTCTACAATTGGGAGCTCGACAACTTGAACATTTTTGTCCTTCACTTCACCTGAGAGAATATAAAAATATATGATCACCATACTGTACTCTTCATACAACCACCATTCAACAAGTATTTACTCTGGCTGCTTTCATCCTCAAAGCTTTTCTAAAGAATTATGGCAATTTTTACTTTACAGAGGAGGAAAACAATGGTGAGAATTAAGAATTAAGCAGTGTGCCCAATCCACTACAGCGAGAGTGACAGAACTGGGATTCACATTAAGTTGGCATCTCTCTCAAGTTCATGGTCTTTTTTATCATTGTTGTTGTTGTTATTAAGTGCTATCGAGTCAGTTGTGACCTACAGTGACCCTGTAGAAGGTTTCATAGAAGCAGCTGGTAAGCTTGAACCGCCAACCTTGTGGTTCAAACTGACTTTGCCGTCCAGTGCATTAACCCACCGTGCCACACCAGGACTTTACATGCTGCCATACCCCAGAAAAGAGTGGTATCTGTCACTCAAAATATCTAACTAGACAATAGTTATGGTACCAGGTAACACAGCTAGCTGGATAAGGTACTAATGTTACATTTGTTTTTGAATAAAGTATCCTCAATACTTCAAGTTTATCATTACAACAAAAGGTTCTTGTATTACTTTCATGACAGAGTACAATGATTCTAGACTATATATAGAATATATATCTTTTTCAAAAAATTAGATAATTAAAAAAATTAGATAATTTTAAAGTCTTTTTATCCTTTGGCCAAAATATACTTATTATATTTTCAATTATGATAATAGAATCTATGTTGCTTACTTGTCATTAATTTAAAATTAGAACAGATGAGATACTGATTTTTACAGATGATAATTACTTTCAAAATCCAACTTCCCTATATAATTAATGCTACTGTTGTTCTTATCAACTTTATAATATAGTAATAAGCAAGAAAAGATCAAAATGTAGTAGCCAACATTCTTAGAATTCATTTTACATATTAAATACCATTTAGTAATAACCAGAAGACACAAAAATACTAGGCAGATTTCATTAGCATAAAATGTACTTAATTACAATTTCAGTATCAGAAAATATTAACCTGAATATACAAAACAACCCCAGTTAAGATAAAACAACCCCAGTTAAGATACTGTCATTTTGTATGAGGAATTAGAATTATAGTAATCACTGGATCATTAATGAAAGAATGATTTTCAACATTCTTGGAGAATAAACCTAGAAATACATTTAAAATGTATTCACCAGATTAGGACACAGTCCTCAAGTTCCATTTTCTGCATATTTACAAAATGTTTTAATAGTAAATTAAATGATCTAGGAAAGTAGTCAATCAACTGCATGGTTATTAGAAAGTCAGCTTGGCAGGTTGTTGCTGTTGTTAAGTGCCGTCGAGTTGATTCTGACCCACAGCAATACTGTATAGGGTTTCCAAGGAGCAGCTGGTGAGCTTGAACCACCGTCCTTGTAGTACCAAAGAACTATGCAGTCTGACGCATTAGCCCATGGCGCCACACCAGGACTCCTAGCTTCAATGGCTACATGATCAGAACTCAATTACAGGAAGAAAGAATAGGAGAAAAGAAAAAAAAAAATCATTTTTTTTTGATAAAGAAAACAAGTGTAATTTGCTACAATTTGATGAACTTGAGCTATACTTATGGATGTAGTAGCTTAAAATACCAACCCAGAGGGAAGGAATCTATACAGCAAGGATCATTCCCATCACCTCTGTACACAGGGCTGACAGGGATGAGCAACCTAGACATTGGCTACCTAAAATGGGG